TTGGGTTGGGTTGGATGTGATGCTTGGGTTAGGTTAGGTTGGGTTGGGTTGGGTTGGGTTGGATGAGATGTTTTTTTGGGGAAAAAATATATAGAGGATAAAATTTCAAAGTGGTAGCTATTTTATTATATAGATATTATATTATTTATATAAAATTATTTATTAATAAAAGTTAGAGTTTTTTGAAAAGGTCTTCAGATTCTGACTCCGACTCTGATTGGATTTATAATTTTTCTGACTCCACCTCTGACTCTTAAAAACTCTGACTCCAGTAAAGGCAGCGGATCGAAATTGGAGACAAAGTCAGATTTTTGGATTTTTGCACACACCTAGCTACAGGGTACAAACTGTGGTATCAAAGGATCATAAATCAAGGTTTCTATAAAATTCCCCAAATGAATGAATAGGACATCCGCTCCTATCGATGATATCTTGGTTAAACACTCCACCATCCAACAACAACAATAAAGAACACAGCTCTACAGCCTCACTATCATTGATATTTCTACGAAAGTTAAAACTCCAACTAATGGGGAATGAAGCACAAGAAACCATAGGAACAATTGATACATTATAAGATCGAGAAGACTATACAAATGAGGAAATAAAGAAGAGAAAGGACTAAAATATGTCCAAGCATCTTCCTAAAACCGAATCTTAACCCCATTACCCACAATGAAAATAATGTACTTGAAGAAATCCAACCACAAGAAACGTATTTCCATGGACTGCAAATGAACCCCAAATTAAACACATGAGAATCCCAACTATTATCATGAAACCATGTCCCACTTCACCAAGTGATCCTTTTTCCCTTCCCCATTTGCCTCCCACAAAAAATCTCCCGACTTTATCATTTTTGCTACTTTCGAAGGACCCCTAAATAAGGACATGTAATAAGGAATACTCAACAACACTAATTGCATTAAAATTAATCTACCTTCTCTTGACTACAAAGCTCTTTTCCACCCTCTCTTACTAATTTTCCCAATCATAGGATCCCAAAAATTTCAAACCTAGGATTACCCCCTAAGGGTAACCCAAGATATATCAAGGACCATTCTTCAATCGCACACCTTAAAATTCTACTCTGGGAATTAATCTTGCCTTGCTATGCATTAGTTCCCACTATAGAGCATTTACTCAGATTAACCTTCAAACCCCGAAACAATCTAAAAAATTTGCACTATTGAAAATTTTTTTCATCACCTTATAGGAAAAAAATAGTGTCATCAACAACCTGATGGTGAGAAACTGAATTTCATCCCTTCCAACCACCCTTCACGAAATTACAAGTCTTTGGTCTTTCAACCAATCTACTCAAAGAGGAGAAACATTTCCTTGGCTTTTCATTAATTGTAACTGAAAAATTCATAGAACTTAAACAACCACGAATCCATTTTCTCCATCTACCTCCCAAACCCTTTCTTTTCGTGCACCAAATCTAAAAACCCTAGTCCATATGAACATATGTTTTTTCAAAGTCAATTTTAAAAATCATCCTTCCTTATCATTGGCTCGGTACTCCTCCACAATCTTATTAACAACTACAACTTACCTTCCCTTCACAAAAGCACTTTGACATTTCGAAATTGTACCACTCAAAACCTCTCTCAACCTCCTAGCTAACACTTTGTCCAAGACTTTATACAAGAAAGTTACCAAAGATTTTATACAAGGAAGTTACCAAACTAATTGACCTGAATTCACTCAACTTTAAAGAAATCTTCCTTCTTGTGAATAAGACTTTTAAAAGAAGCATTGGTGCAAGCATTAACAATCCGCTTATATAAAAAATGCACCAAATACTTTCATGATATCCATCTTAATAATTTTCTAACAATCTTGAAAAACAGCAGTAGAAAAACCATCCATTCCCGATGATTTATCTCTACTACAGTTAAACATTGCCCTTCCAACTTCCACCTCAAATGGTTTTTCAAGCATCTAGCTCTACTCTGCTCCATCGGGCACCAATTGAACCCCACAATCTTTGGCCTACTAACACTGCAGGATGAATATAATTTAGAGAAAAAATTAATCATCTCACCCTTAATTTGACTATCCTCCTCTACTATTAACCCTTCTCCATTTTCAATTCTTTTAATGAATTTTTTTTTCATCTTTTCATTTGCAACCCTAAGAAACAATTTTGAGTTATTATTCTCTCCCTCATCCATTTTACTTTAGCCTTTTGCTTCCACAAAATCTCATCTCTATAAACATTCAAATTTGTACTTTAGGTCTAATCTCTCCATTCTATAATCCCATTCAATCCACCCACCATCTCCTCCTTATCCAATTCATAAGTCCTTTTTAGAATCATATGTTTCATCTCTTTAGTATTCCCAAAAACCTTTGTATTCCCAAATTTTTATTTTTTCTTTATCAACTTAAGCTTTTTCATGAACTTAAAAACTTCCCAACCTTGGACACTAATCTCATTCCATGACTTCTCAAAATATTTTCTAAATGAATGATGCTCCAACCACATACTTTCAAATCTAAATGGAGTTGGGTCCCACCTAAACGGACAACTCTCAATGACTGGTGGATGATGATTGGACACAGCTCTCGAGAAAGCTTCTTGACTCACATTAGGGTACATATCAACCCACACATCAACAGGGCCGGCCCTAGGCCTAGGCCATTTAGTTGGCCGCCTAGGGCCCCTAATTTTTGCAAAATTTTGGGGCCCCCACCCCCTAGGTAGGAGTTTTAGTTCTGAGTAACTATATTTTGGATGGGCTGATTTGAGAGGGTCCAAATTTTGCTTACCTAGAAAATTGCTCCATTTGCCAGCTATTGTAGACTGTTAAACTTCTTGTCAGCTATAGAAGAATGATAGACTTCTGCAACAAGGAAGATATATATGACTAGTAATATCTATCTCTTAACATTTCTCTCTCTATTAACGTCTATCTCTTAACATCTCTCTCATCGATAATTGAGAATGCAGTAACACTATCGGCTGAAGAATCTTTTAGAATTGAGTATTTTTTATTTATAGTTGATCTAGCTATTTCTTCGATCAATAATAGATTTGAACAATTCAAAATATATGAAAATATTTTTGGTTTTTTATTTTGTTATAAAAAATTAAAATCCTTAGATGATGATAGTTTGCAAAGTTATTGCCTTAACCTTGAAAAGTTTTTGAAGCATGATTTTTTTTTGATATTGATGGTTTAGATTTATTTCAAGAATTGACTGTTTTAAGAAAAGTCCTACAATATGAAATTAACACTCCAACAGAAACCCTAAATTATATAAAACGATTAGATTTTTGTCCAAATGCATATATAGCTTTAGAATATTGTTAACTATACCGGTAATAGTTGCTTCAGCAAAATTTTTTTTTCCAAAATTTAAATTAATAAAATATTATCTCCGATCAATTATGTCATAAGAAATATTAAATGGATTAGCTATTTTATCCNAGAAACCCTAAATTATATAAAACGATTAGATTTTTGTCCAAATGCATATATAGCTTTTAGAATATTGTTAACTATACCGGTAATAGTTGCTTCAACAAAAATTTTTTTTTCAAAATTTAAATTAATAAAATATTATCTCCGATCAATTATGTCATAAGAAATATTAAATGGATTAGCTATATTATCTATTGAAAAAGATATATTAACAAAACTTGAATATAAAAGTTTAATCAATATTTTTGCATCTCAAAAAGCTAAAAAAATAGCTTTTAAATGAATATATTTTAATAATTATTGCCTATTAATAGGGCCTCATTTTATATTCTCGCCTAGGGCCTTCAGATTTGTTGGGCCGCCCCTACACATCAAACANAAAACTTGAATATAAAAGTTTAATCAATATTTTTGCATCTCAAAAAGCTAAAAAAATTGCTTTTAAATGAATATATTTTAATAATTATTGCTTATTAATAGGGCCTCATTTTATATTCTCGCCTAGGGCCTTCAGATTTGTTGGGCCGCCCCTACACATCAAACATAAAAAATCTACCCAGTCTTTAGTCTTTTACATACTGCATTCTCATGAAGATTTGACCACGTAAACCTAACCTAGCATTTTGCCAATGCTGGATCAACTGATCCACAACTTTGAATAAAGTGATGAAGTCTCTCATGCTCCTAGTAACCCTACTTCCCCCCATCTTTTCTGAAACAACTCTAATAACATTAAAATCTCCACTCATACACCAATTAGGACGACATTGGCCAAAAAAAATTGTGAGTTTCTCCCACATATCCATGCTAATCCTTGGACAATTAGGACCATAAACACCGGTGAACCACCACTCCCTAGCATATCAAAGTCTTAAACTTAATCGATATTGAAAAGACTCCCACCACTATATCCACACCCATAACAACTCTCTTATACCAAATAATTAACACCCCCAGATCTTCTACAAGAAGATAAAAAGCCCATTTCCTAAATCTAACCTCCCAAACACTCGGAATAAATTTTCTACTAATCCTTTCAACCTTTGTTTCCTAGAATACTATAATGACAGGACAAATCTTCTCCAGAATCTCTTTAACACATTCTCTCTTTCTCCTAGACCTCATTCCTCTAACATTCCAACTCACAATTTTGCATGGCTTTACCAAACTATCCCCAAGAGCAGCTACCGACACACCTTCATAATTAATACCAGACCTAAGATTCTTAAGTTCCCTAATACACTAGCACTCTCTTTAGATTTTCTTCTCTTGTCTCCACCTACACCTAAACATGGCACACCTTTATTTTTTTTTCCCTCCTTTCTTCTTCTTCACTAGTGATATTCATACCATTATGTTAAAGGAAACACAGTTAAAGTCTTTCAACCAACTCTTAATCTTACCCCTCTCATCTTCCCCCAGTCTCATAGACCCAAGATCTACCAAAGTCTTACTGTCATTAACACTACCAGACTCACTATCCTCAATACGAAATTGGTCTAAGATCAACCCTTTAGAATACTCCTCATGACAGTTTGGCATTAAAATTAAATAAGAACCACATCCTCAAACAGCTTGATGATTATCATGCGCAAAATTGGGAGAAGACTTAGAGATACAGAGATCTAACTCATCAGAGTAGATAGCAGGACAAGTTGCAAAAACAAAGACAACTTCAGAATTTAAAACGAACTCTGAATACCCCAAACCCAAACCATAACCCCCCACTATCTCAGATGATTTTTCCAGTAACCGCTTTTTCTGGGAAGAGAGAGATCTATCGGGCTTAGGCTCAAAACAAACACATTCCTCAATTGATTGTTTGAAAGGAACAATCACACCAATCTCTTCTGAAGTAATATTGGCATTTCGGTTGAAAACATCATACTTCGCATAAAATCTATCCTTTACTTCTTCAAACAGGTCCTCAACACCAACCATGGATTGACTACCTTTAGATGCATCATCAGTTCTCAAAGATTCATCTTCTTGAATTCCAGTCATATCTTCTTCATCCTCTGATGCTTCATCTGGAGAAGAGCTGAAGTTTGTTGGCTTCAAACATTACTTCACCTATCTTATCCGCCCTCAATTGTTGCTAGAAAAATCCAGAATTAGCTTTGATCATCTCTCTCTCCACTTCATCATCATCCACGTCAGTCTCTGCCATCACATTCATCTTCACACTTCCTTTTCCTATCTCGAAACTCCCTTGTACCTCCTCACCATTCTTAGCTGGCAGCACAATCACATTTGCACCTCATCGATTGAGAATTCCGCTAGCCCCCAGCACACTCTCCCTTATTGCACCTCTCAATACCTTGGCCCTAATGTGAGAGAAGACATGATTCGTCTTTAAACACATAGTTGGGTCATATATTTTAGAAGATGGGTTATAGGCCAAATCCAACATAGACCCAACTTCAGTATTCCCCAACTCTACACATTTTCCAGCCCATCACTGCACATCTCTCTTGCTTCAAAAGCAACAACTCTTGATCAAATAATGGTTGGAAAAAGAAGGTANCATACACCAATTAGGACGACATTGGCCAAAAAAAATTGTGAGTTTCTCCCACATATCCATGCTAATCCTTGGACAATTAGGACCATAAACACCGGTGAACCACCACTCCCTAGCATATCAAAGTCTTAAACTTAATCGATATTGAAAAGACTCCCACCACTATATCCACACCCATAACAACTCTCTTATACCAAATAATTAACACCCCCAGATCTTCTACAAGAAGATAAAAAGCCCATTTCCTAAATCTAACCTCCCAAACACTCGGAATAAATTTTCTACTAATCCTTTCAACCTTTGTTTCCTAGAATACTATAATGACAGGACAAATCTTCTCCAGAATCTCTTTAACACATTCTCTCTTTCTCCTAGACCTCATTCCTCTAACATTCCAACTCACAATTTTGCATGGCTTTACCAAACTATCCCCAAGAGCAGCTACCGACACACCTTCATAATTAATACCAGACCTAAGATTCTTAAGTTCCCTAATACACTAGCACTCTCTTTAGATTTCCTTCTCTTGTCTCTACCTACACCTAAACATGGCACACCTTTATTTTTTTTTCCCTCCTTTCTTCTTCTTCACTAGTGATATTCATACCATTATGTTAAAGGAAACACACAGTTAAAGTCTTTCAACCAACTCTTAATCTTACCCCTCTCATCTTCCCCCAGTCTCATAGACCCAAGATCTACCAAAGTCTTACTGTCATTAACACTACCAGACTCACTATCCTCAATACGAAATTGGTCTAAGATCAACCCTTTAGAATACTCCTCATGACAGTTTGGCATTAAAATTAAATAAGAACCACATCCTCAAACAGCTTGATGATTATCATGCGCAAAATTGGGAGAAGACTTAGAGATACAGAGATCTAACTCATCAGAGTAGATAGCAGGACAAGTTGCAAAAACAAAGACAACTTCAGAATTTAAAACGAACTCTGAATACCCCAAACCCAAACCATAACCCCCCACTATCTCAGATGATTTTTCCAGTAACCGCTTTTTCTGGGAAGAGAGAGATCTATCGGGCTTAGGCTCAAAACAAACACATTCCTCAATTGATTGTTTGAAAGGAACAATCACACCAATCTCTTCTGAAGTAATATTGGCATTTCGGTTGAAAACATCATACTTCGCATAAAATCTATCCTTTACTTCTTCAAACAGGTCCTCAACACCAACCATGGATTGACTACCTTTAGATGCATCATCAGTTCTCAAAGATTCATCTTCTTGAATTCCAGTCATATCTTCTTCATCCTCTGATGCTTCATCTGGAGAAGAGCTGAAGTTAGTTGGCTTCAAACATTACTTCACCTATCTTATCCGCCCTCAATTGTTGCTAGAAAAATCCAGAATTAGCTTTGATCATCTCTCTCTCCACTTCATCATCATCCACGTCAGTCTCTGCCATCACATTCATCTTCACACTCCCTTTTCCTATCTCGAAACTCCCTTGTACCTCCTCACCATTCTTAGCTGGAAGCACAATCACATTTGCACCTCATCGATTGAGCATTCCGCTAGCCCCCAGCACACTCTCCCTTATTGCACCTCTCAATACCTTGGCCCTAATGTGAGAGAAGACACGATTCGTCTTTAAACACATAGTTGGGTCATATATTTTAGAAGATGGGTTATAGGCCAAATCCAACATAGACCCAACTTCAGTATTCCCCAACTCTACACATTTTCCAGCCCATCACTGCACATCTCTCTTGTTTCAAAAGCAACAACTCTTGATCAAATAATGGTTGGAAAAAGAAGGTATTTGTTCTATATACAAATTGATGGTTAACTTTGCAACCTGTTTGATATACTAGATAGGATAGTGAATACAAGAAATACTACTCATAATGAACTTTAGGATCTTGTAACTTGATGCAATGGATCTTAATTCTATGCTCAACAAGTGATAGATTGTAATGTATATAAATAGTTGCTGATGTGGGGATTTTTTTTTTTTTTTTGGTAGTGGGACCAAATATATACTTCATTTCTAACGTAAATTGCTTTTCCACCACTTCCTTTAGCTGAGTCTTTTGGGACTATTTTTTTGTTGTACATGCTCAAATCATAAACAAATTTGTACATAATAATATATTCCTAACATTCTTTTTTCGGACTATCTTTAGTTGTACACGCTTCAAATTGTAAACAAATCTGCACATAATAAATTTATCTCGTCCTTCTTTTTTCCCCCGACAATGGTTGTGATATAACGCTTGTAGGTTTTTGCAAAAACCAAACTCATTGGCACCAAAAATCTCAGATTCTGATCTCTTACATTCTTAATAAGATATTCTATAAGATATCCAACCAAATATTTCAAAAGGTATCAATCTTGCATTCCATCACTCATGCCTCAAAATATGCGGCAATGTATTTGACCTTTTCTCAATCACCTGTTACTAATCTAAGATTGGGTTTACTGACAATGATTGGATAAATAAACCTTACATTGATTCATTTTGTGGACTCTCTCTCTCTCTCAATATGTGTGGTAACGATCGTAGAGAAAACACCTGTTTTTCATGAAATCACAAACATACACAACCTGAAATGTACGAGGCACAACCGTATCAAGTGATTTATTGGTTTAATTTGATGAATTGATCTGAAATTCTTTACAAGTAACGTGACAAATTTCCATTATTGTTTACAATCTTACTTGTAGTAAGTAGTATTTTTTTTGATAGGGAAAAAAAATTCATTAAATAAAGTAAAATGTACAAAGAGGTGGACAAGAAATCCACCCTTTGAGGGAAATAAAAGAGGAAATACATTGAAAACATTATATCCCTGTAAAATAGGAGATAATCCTAGTTACACACTGCAATCGTATCAACACTAAAAGAAAAAATGGCACGTCCTTAAACTCTTGACGCCCAAAGAGAAGTCAAAAATTTCACTCTATCCCAAAGAAACTCCACCAATTCTTCTTCTCCTTAAAAAAAATTTCTGCTATTCTTTCCCAACCACTCCACTCAAAAAATTGACATAATCACACATTTCCACCAGATACATACTCTACACCCCTTCCGAAAACAGCATAGTTGGCTTCAAATAGAGATAAGCAAACCTCTTGAAAATATCAAAATCAAATATTCACCCAAAGCTCTATAACACAGTTTCAGTTCCACCGGGCAATGGAGAAATAGAAGATCCACACTTTCACTGCGTCTTTTACACATAATGCACCATCAGGGGAAAGACAATAATTTGATCAAGAGCTATTATCCAAGCAAAAACCTGCACCTTAATAGGCACTTTTGACTTGCAAATCATGTAATGATTGAAAAATAAGAGATTATCAATCATCAAGAGGGCATTTCAAGAAAAGACTCTAGAAGAGTCGAGGATAATTACAATACAATACAAGCCTATGCACACACTTTCAGCTGCTGTCTTCCACCAGAGGGCATTTCAGCTGCTATTTCTTTCACAATTATGTACTTTCCTCCTCTAAACAATAGAGAATCTGGTACCTTATTTCTTTTAGCATTAATATCTGCAGATCTTGGATAATATTTTTATACATAATCAAGCAGCTGAATTAGAGCTGCACATTTTCGAGAAGAACCAGAAACAAGCTATGGAGAATCATCAAGACCTAGAAGATAGTGGAGAAGAAGAAAGCACAAATCCATTCCTTCCATCATCAGAACCTGACCCGGTATCAAAAAGTGACACGTCTCAAGGGCAATCAACTCTGAAATCATGTTTAGCCTCAGAGTTCCGTTTTCCTAAAAACAAACGAAAACGAGGGCACCGCAGAGCTGGTTCGGGTGGTTGGAGCCGACAATGCCCAGGTGAACCTGATAGCCAGTGACTTGTTTCATTAGTTCTTAGATCATTCGATAAAGATGTAGCACTTGACTTCGTGGATGATGGAAGCCTTATTTGGAACACGAGGAACAGTTAACTTCGTAATGGTGTTGAAACAACTAACTTTTCAGGACTACATGTTTCATGGCAACAGGTTATTGTGTGGTTCCCCTGGTTCTTCAGCCCATTGCTGTGCTTACATGGATTAGGCAAATAATAGAGGCAGAGCTGTTTGATCACTCTAGTATTGTTGTATGTTTTTAGTGTAGGTTTATGTATTATCAAGCAAATGTCTGATGTACGGGTCTGAAGTCTAGACACTAACTGTGAGGCTGATAACGAGGGGACATTTTTTTATCCCATGTTAATAGACATTGATGACTGGATATCTGCTACGGTGTCCAGCTTGTTGGGAAGAGGCTTCTCTGTTGGCCTTATTGTCCAAGTTATTCTGGTCATGTGAAATGAGTTATTGTTGATTGTCATATCTTGGACGTCTCAGACTCGAGTTCCCGCTGTAGGATTGAGTGAGGTGATTGCCCGAAATTTATGTAACACTGCTCTGTTTATTTAAGCCCATGTAGTTAAGTTAATCACGTGCTAAACCAGTTGGAAAATGGTGGGTTACTGAATTCACTACTATGCTCTTGTGACCTGCATGCATTGTAGCTCTGAATGTTGCATTAGTGTTTTCTCCTCATACTGCTTCTCTTTCAATTCTTTCGAGGTCACTGAATCCTTTTTGCGGTCATGGTTGAGGAGGAATTTATGACCCTAGTTTTTTTATGTGGTAATGCAACAAATAGGCCTCTCACGGGTATCTGAGCATTTTTTGCTATTGCATTTATAGACAGAAGATACAAATAATCTATTGATCAAAGGCTGTAACGGTGGACTGTTCTATGTTCAGCCACACTACAGTGACCTCCGAAGCATAATACTTAATCGACATTCATAAAAAGTATCTCATGAATTATGAGTTTAGTACATCCTTTATCAGAAAAGTGGATATTCTTTGCAAATTAAAATTTAAATATCTTATAGTCCTTTTAATTTGGTGGCTCTCGTTCAAACTTTTAACGACAAAAGAATTCCCTTATAAAATCTTCAATAGTCTTTTTATTCTCACTCAATTCTTTATTATAAAGTGTCAACTTTTAATATTTCTTCTCCAATTAACTCTTTACATTTGGACAGTTAAACTCACTCTCTATTTTATTTTTTTGAAATAGAAAAAAGATATATTTGTCTTTTAATCCAAGACATTTAGAATAAACGTATTTTATTTAAAATAATGGATGAAAAATGAGGGGAGGTCAAATTTATTGGCAAAAAAGGACAAAACATAAAATGATAAGACTAGAAAATCCTATTGCAATTTAAAGGCATTTAAAGGTATAAAAATTGAGGCACCAAGTTGACTCTAAATGTGAAGTCTATATATATGGGCAAGTCTTTTCAGATTAGGATAACTCTCATTAAACCTCAAAATGCCTTTTATATCATCTAACCAATAACAAACCCTAGAATCCCTAAGCTTCCAAGATCAAATCTACCAAGATAAAAGC